TCCAAAGCAGTTTTTGCTCTGAAAGCAAGAAAAGGCAGCATAAAAAAACAGAATGAGATGCAAATTATTTTAAGGCAATAATGGGGGGGTGGTGGAAAGTGTTGGAGAAGTGTTAATTCAAGTCCTTCCTAAAGCTTGTGGTGAAGGAAACTACTTCCATAAAGCAAAATATGAGGAACTGTTTTTGCAAAATTCTCCAAGATTAAGAAATAAAGGCGGGAGGATATAAAAAGCTCTTTTCATTACAATAAATAAATAAATAAATAAGCAGTGCCAACAAGCAGGCGATCAAACCACAGTCAAACTTCAATCTCAAAGCAGTTAGCTATAAACTGTTAGCAGTTGAAAAGTAAACCTGTGCACACAAAGGCACTGTTTAAATTTCTTCTTGTAAGGGTTCTAAATGAAGACCCAATCACTATGCAGTTAAGCGGTATTTCTTGTCCCCCTGAGGCGCTGATCAGTTCTTTTTAATGTGAGAAAACCAGCGGCTCAAAACCCGTCAATGGAGCTCCCACAACAAAAGTTCTGAAAAGCTGAATGAATTGGGTTTGTAATTACTGCATCCCGTCCCTCCACCCCTTGCCGCTTATCTCTTATTCATTCACCTTATATTATTGTCAAGGAATCTTACTCTCAAAATCATTCCCTTACCATTTACCCAGGGCCACGGAGGAACTTATGACAGAGCAGAAAGGGAACACTTGCCCGCCACCCCCCTCCCCACTACACCTGGAAATGTTCAAACCAATAGGTGGGGAGGGAAGGAGGAACTACTTTGTACCCCAATTTACTCTAAGACTGCTAGAACTACGAGTACTTAGCCTATGGAGCCCTCCATTTTAAAACCTGAATTTTATTGGCAAACAGCAATGTGTGCCATTTCTAAATTCAGAATCTGCCTGAGTCTCTGAACTCCTGTGACATCTCCACTTAGAAAAGGCAAAGGTTATAAATAAATCCCCTCCCCACTCTCCCCAAACTGCAAAGCCCTAAAAGACCTTTCCAGACATGATGTAGAATCTAAGGTAACTTATTATGTTGTTTTTTTTTCTTCTTTTAAAATAAAGACAGAAAATGAAATAGAAAAAGAAACTATAATCCCCCCAACTCTCAGTCCAAGAAAAGGTTTTATGAAAAAGTCAGCTTTAGAATGCCAGGGCTCTATGTGTATTTCAATCCAAGGCATGGCTGATGGAGAAGATTCTCCTGAGATTTCCTACTGTAAGAATGTGTCGGTTCTAGAAATAAGTACAGCTATTACAACCAAATCTACTAGCAGACTAAATAATTAATTGAAGCGTTGCTCTTTGACCCTGGAAAAGTCCAGTAGGGACACGTTTATAGTAATAATACCTCCGAATGAGCCCTTGTCAAATATTCATTTAGTGGTTAATGTGAGCCATTTTCCCCTGGGACCGTCTGTAATACCAGCTTCCCAGCATTGGCAAGAAACCTTGCTAATCTACTACAGCTCAGCAAAATATTTTAACGCTCTTTATTTAAAGTAGGGGGCGGAGGTGCGGGAAAGAAAAAAATTGCAGAGGGAACAAACTATAATCTCATCCTTCTACACATTTCCATTCTATGTATAAGGTTAACAAAACATTAAATTCACCCCTTTGACTGGAAATTGAATGGTTTTTAGTGAGCAGACTTATATCCCAAGGAAGGAACTGAACACTCAACAACTAACTTCAGCACCGAGAGATAACCATCTCTGGGCAAGTTTATGGATTTACCCCCTCTTGAAAATCATATTACAAATAAAATACTGTATGTTTAATATTAATCTAGTCATGAAACTACACATCTTGGGGAATCATTTAGCCCAATCAAATAAACGATGAACTATGACATTTTCCTCAAATGCAGTTTATCAAAAGAATTTATATTTGTGAGCAAAATAATTTGGCTTTCATTTAGGGAGGGGATATGGAGGGATAGGAGGGAAAATGGGAGTTCTCTTGTTTTAGGCAGACAGTGACAATCACTCAAAATTAGTTCAACTTCCTAAAATTGCTCTCTTCCCTCTTGCAAAATATTTGAACTTGAGCATTTTGCCAAAAAGTTGTTGCTTTTTTTAGTCTGATCCTGTGGGCTTCCCTCCCACCCCCACTAAGGGAGCCCAATGCACTGCAATTACTCTAAACCCTATACATATTTCTAATATATCTCTATTTTTTTCAAATATATACACTCCATATAGTTGATTGGCTCAAATTCCGGGAATATCCTCCCCACCCCCCAGCAAGATCATTTGGATCTTTATTCAAAGTTTCTTTTATTCGTATGTGTGAGCAAGAACTGGCGAATGTGCTCATTACCACGTGAATAATCCGTATATGCATTACAATGGCTGGCCAGGCCGGGGGAAATTCTTTTAGAGTCTCTGCATTAATTAGGGGGGGAAATGCCTCGCTTAGAATTGGGATCTGGCATAATAATTGTCCTTTACCCTAAAATGATTTTTTTTTAAAGAAATAAGTGACAACCAACACGCACCAAAAATAAAGCAATCCACATGAAATAAAAATACAGAAAATATGAGAGTATCTCCAGCTGATCCCAGAACTAACATCAGCAACATCACGAGAAATACTTTTCCTGGAAAACGAGAAAGTGCAAACCAACGGGTTGAGCTAACTTAGTGGCTGCAGCCGGTATTTTACTCAAGGGTGGAAGGCGCTGCCGGATTCCAACTTCTCCAAAGTTGTACCAAGTTGGCACAACAAGCCCTTGAAATTGTGGGTAGCAACCCACGCTCTTAAGAATGCCTGACTCGTGGTTCCTGGTCCTCTTTGGTGGGGGAAGTTGCGCGAGGTAAGCAGTAAATAAGAAAAGTCCCTGAATCGGTCTTACAGATTCTCCGGCTGCGCCAAAGCGCGGGTCGGTTGTGATGTAGAAACATCGCTAATTCAAAGACCATTGGTGATTCCCCAACTTTTCCGCTCCCACTGAGGACAACTATAGTCTTTCTTTACCTTTCCTAGGGCAAAAGAAAACAACAAATCCAATCTTGTTTCCCCACCCCTTTCCCCTCCCCCTACTCTTCTACTACCGTAGTAAAACACGGTTAACAGATCAAAAGCATAATCATCTCCAAATGTGATTAGACCGGACAAAGTAAAATATCTACCTCAGAGTTGATTGTTTTCTTCTTTAATATGGCTGTTGCCTGGCTTCTCTTTTGCTTGTTATCAGCTGCAGAGATATCCGATTTGGGACTACAGGCTTGGACCCGCGCTGCCAATTTAAGAAATGGAATTCGTGGAGGGAGAGAGAGGAAAAAAGAAAATAAATAATAATAATAAAAAAATAACCATAACTCTGGGGATTTTTTAAGATGCTTTTTGCTTTCCCTTGCCCGTAAACAGGAAAATGTAGAGGAGAAAGTTTATGAAGTCAAGGAACAAAGAAAAGCAAACCACTTGTTTCCTCTCAAACAATAGCAGGGCTGAAGTAACCCAAACACCCACCCAGCAGATGAGTACTTTGCAAGTCTAGTTTGCAATTATTCTGATACAAGCATCATTTTCCCCATAACCAGGTTTCCAAAGGGCCATTGTGCATTGAGGAAAACGAAAACAAAACCAGCCAACCTGGTTCTGATTTGGCTCAATACCCCATCTGCTGAGCTACATGAAAATTTTCAGAATTGACTCCTTCTTTCTGGCAACAAGTGGCATAAATCAGTTTTAAGTATAAGTCCCCATCAGGCTTATTCATGCTGCTTAGAGAAGGAGGGGGTGGATTTACAATATATGTCTCTAATTTCTATTTTAGAAATGACACAAGTATTTCAATTTTTTGAGAGTACTTATTCAATTAATCATTCAGACATTTATTTGTTGCAATTAACATTAACACACGATACTGGACTAGAATATCAAGGTTTTAGGTATCTTGCTTTCTTGGCTGAGCACAGTAAATATATACCCCGAGCAGTCATGTATAATCAGTGTTATCCAAATAAATGAAAGACTCAAGCATAATTTCAGTGTCCATATTTCAAAAATTTATTTATCTCAAACTGTGCATAATGGAGTAAAAACTTAAGTTGAAAATGTACCTGTTATAAGGATGGTATTAGTTCAAATATATACATGGATTCTCGGCAGACTGATTCAAATAATACAGAGCCGAATCTTTAAAATACAACTACGGAAAATAAAGGAGGGGGGGGAACCTTAAAATATCACAATAAATTTACAGAAATATTACAAACCATAAGAAAATATTTCAAACACAGTAATTTCATGTTTTTTTTTTTTATCTGAACAAAATGGAAAGTTGGGAAACAAAAGCTATTATAAATTACCAACGATGTCAACCTGTATGGCCATTTTTGCTTTTAACAGTAAGTTAAAAAAAAATTTAGTACAATCTAAAACTTTTTCCCCTTTAAAGAAGACCACGGAAATGGTTTGCCAGTACTTATTCTAATTTTTCCTTTTGTACAATTTTTAAACAATTAAAATGTCCAAATCTGAATATTTTTCTTCTTTCCATGTTTGCAACTGTCCTAAATTTCAGCTGCAGAATCAAAATTCAGCAAGAAGCCTCTCCTTGAAAAATATTGGCAAATTCTCAGCTTATAAACAATGGACATTTTGATTGCCATGTTTATCTCCATAAATACTGTACAAAAGTTGCTTGCAAATATTAAAACATTTTTTTCGTCGCTTGGAGACTAGCTCTAAATATTATTGGTAAAGACTTTTGCAAACTTTCTGCAAAGCTCCTACCGTATCACTAGAACTTTTAAAAAGTTTTGCGTAGTTTTCTTTCCTCCAGATCTATACAAGGTCCATTCCCTCGCCCGCCCCACCCCCCCTGGTTTTCTCTGTACAAAAATAGTCCCCCAAAAAGAAGTCCAGGATCTCTCATAAAAGTTTTCTCGTCGGCATTGCGGTTTTTGCGTGAGTGTGGATGGGATTGGTGTTCTCTTTTGCAGCTGTCATTTGCTGCGGGTGATGATTTTTTTTTTTTTTTTTTTAAGCGTACCGTGTTTTTCTCCATGCTGTTCCTTACTCTCCTCCCCATTTCTCTCGTTTTTCTTTGAAAATTTCTCCCCCCCCTCTAGTTCACTGTCCGGCCCTCACATGTGCGAGAGGGGCAGTGTGCCGTTAATGGCCGTGCCGGGCACCGGGCCGCTCTGGTAGTGCTGGGACATGTGAAGTCTGCTGGGGGCGGCGGGCTCCGGCACCTCGGCGCCGGGGAGGTACATGCTGATCATGTCCCGGAGGTCCCCGGCCTGGCAGGGCGCCCTGGAGTGGGAGGAAGAGGTAACCACAGGGGGGCTGGAGCTGGCCTCGGACTTGACCACCGAGCCCATGGAGCCAAGCGCCATGCCTGGGGTGCCCTGCTGCGAGTAGGACATGCTGTAGGTGGGTGAGCCGTTCATGTAGGTCTGCGAGCTGGTCATGGAGTTGTACTGCAGTGCGCTCACGTCGTAGCGGTGCATGGGCTGCATCTGCGCCGCGCCGTGTGCGTTGAGGCCCGGGTGCTGCGGGTAGCCCAGTTGGTCCTGCATCATGCTGTAGCTGCCGTTGCTCCAGCCGTTCATGTGCGCGTAGCTGTCCATGCGCTGGTTCACGCCCGCGCCGAGGCCGGCGCCCACCCCGACCCCGCTCGCCATGCTGTTGCCGCCCGGGGCCAGCAGCCCGCCGGGCAGCGTGTACTTATCCTTCTTCATGAGCGTCTTGGTTTTCCGCCGGGGCCGGTATTTATAATCCGGGTGCTCCTTCATGTGCAGCGCTCGCAGCCGCTTGGCCTCGTCGATGAACGGCCGCTTCTCCGTCTCCGACAAAAGTTTCCACTCGGCGCCCAGGCGCTTGCTGATCTCCGAGTTGTGCATCTTGGGGTTCTCCTGGGCCATCTTGCGCCGCTGCCCGCGGGACCACACCATGAAGGCGTTCATGGGCCGCTTGACGCGGTCCGGGCTGTTCTTCTGGTTGCCGCCCGCCGCCGCCGCGGTGGAGTTGCCGCCGCCGCCGCCGCCGCCGCCCCCCGAAGTTTGCTGCGGGCCCGGCGGCTTCAGCTCCGTCTCCATCATGTTGTACATGCGGGCGCTGTGCGCGGGCCCGGCCCGCCGGCGGCCGCCGACCCTCGGCCCGGCCGGGACTTTGGGGGGCCCGCGGGCGGGGGGAGAGGAGGAGGGGAGGCGGGCGGGGGTGTCGGGAGCGCAGGGCTCCACGAGAAAAATCAGGCGAAGAATAATTTGGGGGAAGAAAAGAGAGAGAGAAGCAAACTGGAATCAGGATCAAAAAAAGCGCTTCCCTCCTCTTCTGGCCGATCCTGCCGCCGCCGATGATTGTTATTATTATTTTTTGGAAAGGCTTAAGCCTGGGGCTCAAACTTCTCTCCCTTTCTTTCTCTCTCCTCTTCTTTCTCTCAGTCCTAGTCTTAAAGAGGCAGCAAACTACTTTCCCCCTTTTGCAAACACTCTCTTCTCTGCCTTGACAACTCCTGATACTTTTTTGAACAAGTTAATAGACAACCATCCATGTGATGGGGGCTGTCAGGGAATAAATGGGTTTCCAGCGACCAATCAGCGCGCGGCGGCTCCTCCACTCGAGCCCAGCCTCGCCGCCGGGTTTTGCATGAAAGGGGGCGGGGCCTGCCGCGCCGCAGGCCGCGCGGGGGAGGTAGGGGGAGGAGGGGGAAGGAGGGAGGGGGAGGCGGCTCCCACAGCCTGCCTGCCAGCCACTGAGAAACCTTTGTATCCCCTCTCGCAGCAACAGGTCACACCACACGCCTTTTCGAAGGAAGTGGGTAAACAGCACTAAGACTACGATTTTTTTCTTCTTGAAACTTAATATTGATTTACTTTTTGGTGCGGGCCGCTCCGTTGAGGAAGGGGCGCGAGAAGCCGCTAAGGTGGTGGGGTGGGGCAGGGCAGAGTGGGTGGTTTAGGGCGACTGTCCTGCTAGTATTTCAGGAAACAGGCGGCGCAGGAGTTGGTGTGTCATTGTTCTCCCGCTCCTCCTCACGCTGCTCCCCAACTCCAGCCTCTCCGGGGCTTCTCCCTAACCTCGCTCTTTCCCTCGCCCCTCTTCCTCCACAGGTGCCGGCACTGGCTCACCCCTTTCTCACACTGTCCCGACAAGAAGTTAGGAGACGGAAAGCTCTGTCCTCAACCCTCCCTGCTGCCACAGTTTGCTCTGTGTTAAGCATAAATCCTGCTTGGACTATGTGGCCGACTCCACACTTAAGGGGAGGCCGGGCCTGGGGAAGCTGCGGCAAGCAGGCACTTCCCTGCGCAGCTCGGCTCCAGCCGGGACACTCCAGCTTGTCCCCTTACCTCCAGCCACATCGCCCACCATCTTTCTCCATTCAGTCGATGGAGAGAGGAGGCCCCCATTCTCGTCCTGCCCCCCCATTCTCCCCCTGAGCCTCCCCCAAAGCAGGATTTCAGTTGGGCGGGTTTCAAGAGGAGGCTGGGGGAAGAAAGATCAACAGAAGGACGCTCAGAAGCTCAGGCTCTGGAGCAGCGTAACGACAACTTCCTGGCATCCCACGGCACAGTATGGAGGTGGCATTTGGGCCGCACTCACAAACTCCCTCCCACGCAGAGTTCCCAGGACTCGAGCAGAACCGGCCCTGCCATTCCCCTGTGACTTGTGCTGTGGTGGCCCGCGCCGCCGGGGTCTGGGGCAGCGCTCCGAGGGGGCGCCAGGCCTGGGAGGCGGGTGTGGTGCGCCCCAGGCACAGGTGCAGGCAGTGCAGGCTGGAAGAACACGGCCAAGACTGGTCATGGGGGGAGCCTAGCAAGGCCGAGGCTGGAGGAGGATGGAATGGAGGCGGGGGTAGGGGCTCAGGAATCCTGCCCGCCCAGGACCCAAGAGGGTAATTTTAGCCGCTCTCCCATTGTCCTGACGTAAAGATTTCAATAGGTAGGCGCTCAATGCGGAGAGCAATGGCAGCACGTCCCTTACAAATAGGTAGTTTTGTTTCTCTTGTTGTCGCTACACGGAGTCAAACAAAGCCCCGTCTAAGTTTCCTTCCACTCTCTTGTTGGGATCTTTGTGGCTAAAATGCACTTGACTACAAAGGGTGGGGGGTTGGGGGGGGGTAAAACCTGATGCCATTTCTTTTTTATAAAGGGCTTAAACCATCAGGGTTACTTATTTTCTTTCTTCTGTAACACTCTCTCCGCCCCCTCCTCCCCTGATCTATCTACCCTTACTCACCCTAAGAAAATGTACTGAATAGTATCTGTCGGCCACGTTCCATTTATTATCTTTACAGAACTTTACTTTTTTTGTTTCTTACTAACCATCTTCCTCCCATAACCATCACCACCCCCACTCCAACTTCTCCAGTCCTACCCTCCCAGGCTTTTCTGTTCCTGTCCAACTCAAAATAAGTATGCTCACTGGAAAACCAGGAAAGTTGAGAAAAAGAATCCTGCAGACTTTTCTTTATAAATTATTATTTCCAATCAGCAGCCCCTCCCCCATCAGTTTCTTCTTTTTCTCTAAGTTTTGGTTTGTTTTAGTTTTGGGGAACCCGGGGAGGGTGAGACTGGCCTTCTCGAAACGGATAAATACATGGCACTCTTCAAAACAAAATAACGTCTTCTGTTTATTCGAGGTGTAATAGTAAGCTAAACAGGGACACGGAGATTAGGAAAGAAAATGTTAGAGGCTCAGAAGACAACACCGCAGCCACAGGCTTTTCAGCGCGTCTGGTGTCAGGGATGTAGCTGGTGCGCCCCCTACTGGTGGATTCGCTTTTCCATAAAACAGTTTTGCTTTTACCTTTAAAAGAAGGTGTTTGGAAATAATTAAAGGGAAAAAAAATAAGGGGAATGGGAGGAAGATCCAACTAATTACGCGTAATCTAAACAAAAGAAAAGTTAACATATCATATAAGCTATGGAACCAAATCATAAGAATCAGATTTAATTTGCTTAACTTAGAAATGTACATATAACCTCCAGATAAGGAGGAGGTTAAACCATAGGGAAAAAATAGGTACAAATTATGAGATTCAACATATGAATGAATTATGATTGTCCAGATGCCACGAAGGGCAGACCAAGCATTCACTTCATGATTGTGTATGCGTTGGTCTGCTCTTAGTAGCATTATTCTGAAAACTTTAAAAAAGCTTATGGATAATTAAGTCTGAAGAAAAAAAAAACCCAAGGGGTTGATGTGGATAATGGTGGAGTACATGTATTAAAATAAATATTAATAACGAATGGTTACAGTAGCAAAATTTTTAATCTCCCTCTCTCTCAAGGGGTAGTAGGAAGAGGCACAAATTTTTCCTTGGGATAATATATAAAAGCTTTTATACATTCTCAGACGCCTGTGTTTGTGCCTGAACTCTATAATAATGCATTTAAGAGGTTAAAGGGGCTGGCTAGGTCTTTTGTTAATTGCTTTTATCATATAAATAAGCTATGGAAATACATTACAATTGTGTTATCATTGGTTGCATTTATTTACAGCTTTATTTTAATTAAGCCTGCTGTACTTATCAAGGCAATAAACTAACTGTGGCTGGCATTTATGCATAATAATGTGCTATGAAAATAAGATTAAAGAAGATGGCGATAGCAGAAACAATTTTCTCATTAGATTTTTTAGAACATATGCATTAAAAAAATCAGATCACCGGCCACTCTATTTCAATCCGGCACTATCACTGGCCCCTAAATATAATAATAACTATAATAATCACAATAGATGATAGAAGCAGCACTGTTTTAGGTTTATAACAGATGGCTACAGTACTAGTAACAATGCACCATTGACTACTAGGGAATCAAAATAAGACTTGGAAGAGGGTGCTTCATCCTTCAAGAATTTAAAAATGTTGCCATTGGCACAATGTATGAAAATTTAAAGTGCTTAATCTAAAAGAAGTATAGCATTTCCCTTTCATGGGCAGCAAAAAGCTGCATACTTTTAAAACAAGATTAGAAATTAGGAACAAAAATGCGTAACTCCTAGGATATTCTGACTTAATTTTGCTCTACTATATAGGCCCAAACCCCAAATCCTTACCTGATTAAGTGTAGCTCAGTTTTATCTTTTACACATTTCTCTCCTAAACTCCCCTCATCCCTCCCCAAGTATTATATCTGAAGCCAACTAACAATTTTGTGGAGCTAGGGGACTGTAGACTTATTTTTTCTTCTTAATGGCAAATAGAGGTTTAACTTGCAGTAATTAGGTGAGAACTAGCCAAGCATCTTACTATTATGATGCTTGTTAAAAAACGCTTCTTTTCTGCATCTGCATTTGAGTGTGTTCCCCTCCTCTCTTAATCTTCTTATGGAAATGAAGGCAAACGGCAGGGAACCTGCAGAGTCTTGGAGAATGTCCTTGTTAACTGGAATTTCTCAGCATTGCTAATTAGCAGAGTTTGACGACCACCAGTATTGGGGGGAGAGCTCTGTTTAACCACTCACAAACCATTCCGAGGAAGAGCAGACTAATTTTATTTTGTAATTAAAATCTGAAAAGGGCCCTATTTGACAGTTAGGGCTATGAGAGTTTTATCTCCCCGTGAAATAATTACTGCCTTGATAACTCAATTTTCTGAAAAATGTCAACTGTGGGCTCCAAAAGTTTTAATTTCATTACGTAAGGAAAAAAAGAGAAAAATAGAAGAAAATGTACAGAAAGGCTTTCTAATTCTGGAAGTGGTTAAATATATTAGGAGCCAGATTTGGCCAAATGAAGGGGTTTTTTTCTCCCTTTTTTGTTATGCTTCCTCCGGATCCTAACCTTCCAGCCTTCTTCACTGAAAGCGCCCATGGCAGTGGCTATACTGCAGTGAAAGAGATCATATCAGTGGTGTGGTAAGAGGCACAGAAGCTAAAAAAAGAAGTACGGCAACCCAACAAAAGTTTCTGATTTTAAAAGCCAAAACTAAAGGAAAATTCCAACGTGTAGGACAATACTGGTGCAATCTGGTAAGGTGACATTTTATTGATATTTATCCCCAAACACAACAAAACTGAGAATTGCAGAATAAGGAGACTGGTATAAGCCAATTTAAAAAATGTTTCCTTCTTCCCCCTAAATTGCCCAAAAAAAAAAAAAAAAAAAAAAAAAAGTCCTTCCATCCTTCCAAATTGGAGCATGCCACAAGACTTCCAGAATGATCAACACCTGATTCTTCAAGATACATGAAACAAACACAGATAAATGAAGGTAAAGAAAGGCATTAGAGAATTTCTTTTCCTTACAAAAGCATCACATATTTTCCAAAAACTATAAGATTTAAACTGGAAAAAGTTAGGATATTGAAAGTAAGAGCAAAAATTAGAATTGTGCTATTATCAAACTTCACTTGCTTTAGACTATGAAGGATCCCTCACAAGATCTTAAAGGGGATACCGCAATTTTTATAAAGCAATTTTCAAAATGATAGAAAGCCTTTCGTCTACATTTCCTCCATTTTCTTCCTATTGCCAAACTTGTCATATTTTGGAAGTGGGAAAGATTATTGACAGGAACTATAATAAATGTTTCTAGATGATACAAAGAGCAAGCATATATCTCTATCCCTTTTTATTTACTAAGACATAGATATGCATACGGATGCATGGTGGATGGGCAATTTAAAATTGTTTAATTATATTTTTTTCTTCTTGTCTGTCCCTTCAGCACCTTGCCTTTAATTTCCAGAAGTGGTATTACACATAACAAATGAACAAGGGGATAACAAATGCTATTTCAGTCCAGACCCAATTTCACCAAATAATTTCACTCAAGAGCTGTAAGTACCCTTGAAACCTAAGGAATGCAGAGCTGCTCTGAATCCAGCTCTTTTTTATACTCACTCTCTTTCATCTGATTCCCACTGATGAAATAAATACATTTTAAAAAGAATTCAATGATATAAAGAAAACCAAATATATTTCCCCCTTACTTCAAATTATAGCAACTAAAGTAATATATAATCACTTGTGTATGTCTTCAGGGCTATATATAACAATCATCATATTGCTTCTAGTATTACATATATATGTACCTCCTTCATATATTCCAGCTCAAATATTTCCTGGAAAAAGGATTCACATTTCACAATTTCATTTCCATTTCTGAATTATCAAGCAGTTTTAACGTAAGAGTTGTCTCTGCACTGCAGCTGTTGTCCAGGGAAAAACATAGTGTGCCCATTAAATGATCTAATTATTTTAAATAGAAATTACCTTAAAAAAAAATACAAACTGAAAACTGAAACAGCCTCCTACCAGTGGTTTTCAGTTACACTGAAAAGAAATGAAACTATAATTTTGATTTTAAAAATCAGAAGAAAGGAATGAAAAACGAAAACAAAACCAGGCAAACAGAGCACCAGGAACTGCAAATGGGCCAACAAACCAATGGCCCTTTCACACCTCTAAATCATTGCTTGAGAGTCTAAATACATATCTCCCTGACTGACCACACTATCTTGTGCAATTAATCATACCAAAGGAACAGGGTTTCCTTAGAACCCGAGTTTTCCAGTGACTAGGACTGTTACCGGGATTTTAGGAAAAAGACGATGGTTTTAAATTCTCCAAACTGATTATTTCCTTTAGTTGTGACTACAACTTTTGTGGGAAAAACAAACCTACAGCTTCCTTAAGATTTCTCTAGAGCATATTAAGTGGCTCATGAATGACATCCCAGTGCATGCCAGGCTGCACACTCACTGCACTGGCAATCCACCACGGAGGGAGAAAGTCTCTCCCTCAGTCTGGCTCCTTCTAAACTGCTGAAGTGGGATTTTGTCTTCTTCTGGAGATCTCATGGTGCACACCGCTTCTGTGTTACTTCAAGTTCCCTTTCCAGAAGTACAACCAGACATAACACAGACTCAAAAAGTGACAATGCTCAACTACCTCAGAAGGCAGAGGTGTTTGGCACTTCAGGAAACAAGTTGGGGAAAGAAATGGGATCAGCTTTACCTACATGAGGGACAGGAATACTATCGAAGGAAAAGGAAGAAAGTCTTTCACCTGTTTATATGAAAAGAAGCTGAAAGCAAATCATTGGGGGGAAAAATCACCTACAGTTACCATCAGCCCTAAACAAAACTGCTACCCACTTTTTCTCAGAGTTGCAGCTGTGGCTAGCCTTGGAAAGTGCTCTAAATCAATGGGTACACCCATCCTGGGTGGCCTGGCACCCTCAAGGCCTCCCATTGATATCTGGAGCCCTCTACCAAAAGCTCTTTTGGCCTCAAAAGAAATGTCTGAGAAATCTGCCTTCCCAGGGGCCCACTTCTGCTCACCCTCTAGTGCCCCTTTCCAGCCCTGGCTCAGATGGAGTTGGGCTTCCAAACCCATCCCAATGGAATTCTCAGATGGCTAGCCTGATAATCTTTAAAGGCTCCTTCAGAGCTGTGGCTCTGACTTTTATCTCCTCTCCCAACCTTCTGCCCTTTTTGTAGGCTCTCCCAATTCCTTTTCCCTCCCGCCCACCCCCACTCCTTAATTTGAAGATCATTGACAGGATAGGCTGTAATGAGTCCTTCAGAAACTGTTATGATCTACAGTAACAATCTCTGCACCTAATTCACAGATTATTGACAAGCACCGTGGGCTCAGTGGTGTCAAGTTGTACTTGTGGTTTCAACACCTTCCAGCAACCCACAGACCAGCTGGGCCCTGAAGGACCTGGAGTCCGAAGAGTTTAGCTGCCCCTTGAGTGGCAGAGAGATGAGTATCTGTCTATATCTCAGCTCCCTCAAGTTGGCCTGGGCTTTCTTTCAGGGTTGGGCCAAAGGAACTATAAAGGCTCTTCAAAGCTTAAAAACAAAGCGAAAGAGCAAACTTAATAAATGAGAGCTCATCCTTAATAATCAATCAGCCATCTTCTCCACCCCCAAATAGTTACCAAACTCCAAGCCACACACAGCCTGGCTTTCATAGTGAGGCTTGGGTTCATCAAGAAGGGTCTGAGGTATGGAGGGTAGAGGGAACTCGGAACTTGGCACAGACTCAGTGGGCCCAAGCTAGGGTGGCCCATCCTCCGAGACTGCTCTCAGGGTGGGGCACGATTGACTACTCTTAAAGCAGGGCGCTCAGCCAAGAGGCGCAGGCTCAGGCATGGACGCTGGGACAAGAGACCCCCAAATGCCCGCTCCGCCCCCAAAGGGCTCTTTGCTGTTGCAGAAAAACGGGGGCCTGTTGCCAGCCGGGGTGGTTTTTCCTGCTTCTAAGGAGTCAGTCACTCGCTGCCCTCTCACCAGTCCCCAAAGATGGAAGGGCTGTCTTCCCGCTAGCTGCCGTGGGGCGTGGGATTCCCGCAGGGGCTGAGGCCGCCTGAAACCACAGAAATGACACTGCGCTGGAAAAGCTGGGTGGCATTCCCAGGCCTAGGCCACCCACTTCTTTAGTTCTTTTTCATAAACTAGGGGTTGCGCTTTCTTCCTGGGCCCTGGGAAGTTGGGGACACACAGCCCGCCTGCAGCCAGGTGCGACTCCTCCCCTATCCCCCCTCCTGGCTTCGCCCTCCAGGTTGGGACCCCCCAGGGGCGGAACCGGGTCGAAATCTCCAGGCCACTGGTATCTGAACAGCAAGCAAATACCTCCTTTCACGGGTCGCCTCCAAGATTCTGCGGGCTTTGGCCTCCCCACCCACCAATAGCCTTGAACAGCGGCTGTCACACACCGTTTGTTGGCGCTGGTTCCAAAACTGGCCCAGACTTAATCATTCTGTAACGGGGACTCGGTTTGTTTGTTTGGTTGGTTGTTTTGTTTTGTTTTTGTTTTTGTTTTTGTTTTTGTTTTTTGTAAAGCAAAGGGTGGGTGGGTTGCCTGTAGCGGGGAATCCCGCTTGCCTGTTATTTAGGTAGGATTCCGGGTAAAAACTGATCAAAGCCTTGATTCTTTTCCTGCCACGGTATCCAAAGTCATTTATTGAGAAACACAAGCCGAGATTCGATTCTGGAATCAAATGGAGAAGACATCTCTCATCGCACTGAACACCAGTTCCCCTGAAAACACAATCTCGGAACCAATGATTTGAGAAAGTGGGAGGAATAAATGTTAAGATCAACTTAAACTTGCATAACCACAGTATTAAATATTTTTAAAAGTAATTCTGTTATGAAAATTAATCTGGTTTCCTTCAACAGGGAAATTTTTTTAAAAAATAACTCCTTAACTTCTTAAGATTTTTATTTTAAAGTTAAAATTGTAAGTACATCCCCAAAGATTGAAATCATAAAACACCTTGTTGAGATCATCTGTTCCTTTAACACTGGAATTGTTTCAGTTTGATTTTAAACAGCTAAACAAACCTATATTTCCCCATCATTTTACATTCAGAAGGTCTGTCATTTCTATAGTTTATCTTTCTGAAAGAGTTCAAAGTGTTTATACCCTTATTTGCTCACCAAAGAAAAAGCCAAACCTCTTTCTTATGTAGACAGGTACTTTTGGAAGTGTAAAAATACTCCTCTTCCCCTAGGATAATTTGGATTTCTGGTCATTGAAAATGCTGAATTTCAAAAGAAAATACTCTTTACCATTGGCATACCTTCCCTGAAATCCTGTGGCTGAGATGCTGAGATAAAAGAAGAAAGGTGTCAGGCACCTGTTTCTTAAATAATATCTGGAATTTAACTGCCATCCGGAAAGGAAAAGTTTGATCAAGATTGGTTTGGGGGATGGGACACATTCAAAGCAGAAAATGGCCTCTTAATTACACTCTGAAAATAAACAAATAAAAAACGAGCAAGTTATTTCGTTTACTCAGGGACTCAGTGACAGTTCTTGAAGGACCTCGGAGGGCATACAAGATGCTGCTGACAACGTCAAAAGAGCAAGCAGAAGCATCTTCCGTTTCATTATTATTATTTTTTTTAATGTGGACAGAACGGGAGAAGTAATTTGCTTGGTTTTCCACTGCTACAGAAGAAAGTTCTCTCTCTCTCTCTTTTTAAATCATGCTTCTCTACGTGTTTTACTATCTCAGATTCTAAAAAGAGTCCCAAACCCAAAAGGGGGTAGGGGGTGGCAGGGATGTGAGGAGGAACAGGTTAGTCTTTATTTTTTATTGAATTAAAATTGTATCATCTCCTTTTTATTTTTTATTGAATTAAATTATATTATCTTTCAAGGATATAAAAACTTGTTTCCTCGCCCCATCTCCTTTTTGGAGGGTAATAAAGAGTTTTATCTAACCCCAGAGCAAGGTTCTCGCGATTTCCAGGACTGGCGCTGTGCATCTCCTACTGTGTCCAACAGGGGGCGCTGGTCACGAACCTGCGCCGCGGCTCAGCGCCGCTTCACATCTGAGCCGGGTTCCAGCCCCGGAAGGCGAGAGCCGCTCGCGGGGTCGAGTACAGAGCTTTAGTCTTCGTGGATAAAAAGAGATTAAAGGCTAAATTCTTTTTTTGGGTGTGTGTGTTGGGGGGGGGAGGGTTATCAATTTTAACCAACTACGAAAATGTAGAGCTTTTTATGCTTTGATGTTCTTATAAAGAAACTCCTATTGGCTGAGGAATTACACGGTTTCTGAGCCAACACTGCAGCTACAGTGTGGGGGAAATTATTTAATTAAAAATATATTTTTCCATCTGTTCACATGATCTTTTTAGAAGTACTTAAAAAGCTGACACTGATCCCTTTGGCCTGTTAACCCTGCCCTAAGTTTCAAATACTTTAGCTATTTCGAAGGCCCTTCTATTAATTTGAAGGGGAAAAATAAAAGAGACCCAAATATTTAAATCCCCCCCTAAACACTTACTGTTCTGCATCCCCCCCCCCTTTTTTCCCCTTAAACAGTGGCTTTTGTGTGACTGACATATTTCACGACTGCCGATTCTGCAAAGCCAGGTATAAATGACAAGAAGCGGCTCTAAAAAAAAAAAAATCTGATGTTGGACTACATAACACCCATGTATAAGATGAAATCTAAATAATATTGTAATCCACCCACCCCCACCCTAACTTAAAAAAAAAAAAAAAACCCTTCACCTGTATTTAAATAGCGTGTCTTTAATTACAGCAGTTGGGGATGCATGAGGCTGAAATGAAATTAGCAGTCATTACCAGTCCTTTAACTCTGTGGTGCTTTTGATCAGCACTAAATTAGCTTTCCAGTCCTAACAAAGACTCTACAGCAAGCAGTGGGCTGTAAATAAGACAGCGCGACCTGCCCTCAACACCTTTTCTCTTGTCAATCATAGCTCTATCATTCAGCCCAAGATTAACCTTTATCTACCAAATTAAAAAAAAAAAAAAAAAGAACGAAAGAAAGAAGAAAAAGAGAAAAGAAAAAGGAGGCGGGAAGGAAATGCCCCTGACCACCGCATATCGCAGTAACTGAGGTTCCTAGGAGGCCCCTTCAAATTGTATTCTAATGTAATGAGTTTGTGTCAGAATCTGCAATTTCCAAATCATGGCCCCCCCACCTCAGCCCCCAAGACCTCTTCAGTATATTAGAAGAGTCACAATGCTGTTCAGGTAGGAAAGGAATCCCTTTCTCCGTATTACTATTTGAGTATGGGCCACCCTCCATAAGTCAACCTGCCAGTAGCCTCTCCTCCTCCATTACTCTAACAAAATTTTGGGAGAGGAGGAGATGTTTGAGGAGAAAACATTGATAATTTTAAGGCATATACATAAGTTTCTGGGATGAAAACAATCAATTTACTCCACTAATAGTCTCTAGTTTCTAAGCCTGCGGAGAAAAACCACCAACAGCAACAACAAAAACCCAGCTGCTTTTCCCAGTACTGAATTAAAAAAGTAAAACATTGATTCATATTGCCATTAGAGGGCGCCAGAGAGCAAGCCCATCACCTCTCGCACAACTTCGCACAGAAGCCCTCCTAGCTTCCAGCTCCGCCATGCTCTGTGATTCCTTCTCTCAGGTAATATTTCCTGCTTATCCTGTCCTCTTGTATCTCTAGCCCCCTCAGTGTCAATCTCTATAAAGAATGAGGTGTCGCCATGTCCCTTTCCTTTGCTTTTTTTCACAGCCCCTCCCTAACTACCACCAAAATAGTTAAGACGCCAGATGAAATAGTAGCAACCCCTTAATGATATGTACCTTTGGGCTCAAATCACTCTTTCCATTCTATGTAACCTTGGTCTGGAGAAGGATTTTTTTTTCTTTCTTTCTTTTTTTTTTTTTTTGTAGGGATGAGATGCTAGAATTTGACATTTTTAAGATGGAAGCCTGAAATTTTTCATTTCTGCATTTCTCTCTGGGGGCTCACGGATTTCTACATTTTCAAAGAAAAAGAAAAACACACACCCTTGCAAGGCAACTGATTATGTTCAGCACTAAAACTGTTCAGAAGAGAATAAAATAATGTCTTCATTTCTGCATTTGTTAAAGAAATCAAAATTAGCATTTAATTCCAAAAGTTAACGCTTTCAGACTTAAATCTGCCTGTGTTAAATGACTGCCACACAGGGTGTATTTCCAGATCTCTTAAAGGTCAAAAGAAAAAAAAAATAGAATGAGAGGGGAAGAAAGTGAGTTGGGGGGGGTGGGCGGAGAGGAGTGAGCTAGCAGTGAATGTCAAAGTTGGGTTGCAAGCTACTTACATGTCCATGCCAGATCAGGGTGTTGTCTTGTAGCAGTTTGATTGGCAGGTAAAAAAGCGAAAGAACGTGAGGGCTTCCTGAGCCTCTTGTCAGCCCAAGCTTGATCACTTCTCACCGGACAGAACGAGTTGAAGGAGCTTGCAATTCCCCTCTCGTCCTCCATCCAAGGCACCGTGAATCCATTTCGGCTTTTCTTCCCCCCAGTCTCTCCATCAGCCTCCTGCCTTCACCCGCTTCGCCTTCCACCAGCCTCCAAGACCTAGCCTAGCTTTGCCACTGCAATCCCCTGCAACAAGAAAAATCGTTTATGGCTTAAAACCCCAAATGGCTGATTTTTTAAAAGAGAGAGAGAGAGAGAGAGAGAGGGAGAGGGAGAGAGAGAGAGGAGTGAGAGGGTGAGGGGGAGAGAGGGGGAGCGAGAAGAATGCACCCAGAGAACAACAAAAAAGTCAGTTATCCTAACACTGCTCTATCCCCCCACCGTACAGAAGAAGAATAAAAAAAAAAAAGCTTTATGTTTTTTCAGTGGGTATTCAAAGATAATTTGATGCCATTGTTTCTGCTACAGATGGTTCTTTTAAATACAATAACACGGCTCTTTGTGCAGGCTACCCACAATAAAAATCGAAAGCGTTCCCCTGAATAACCATTTTGTTCTCTCTTGTATGGGGCCAACAAAAGATGCCGTGAGGTAATGGGTTCTGTTTATTGAAGCCATAGAATAGGGGTTTGATAAAGATTTTTTTAAAGCAGAAGACCTTGCAAGGTCGGGCTGATCTCTTCATATTTTTTTTATTAAAATATTTGTCCAATAGATTATTCCTTGGTGCAGCTGCAGGTTTCCTCCTCAATTTTTAATCAGCCCAAACATCTGTCTCTTTGAGGACGCTTTAAAAAAATTTGCAATTGTATCAATGGTGCAGTAACCTTATCAAATCCTGAGTTTTTAGGCTCAGTGCAGGCAAAGGCAATGGAGTTTCAATTCTATTTGGGGTGGGGTGAGATGGGATTGGGGGAGAGGAGACACAACAACCCCAGAGAGACTGAAGAAAATGAGGCTTTCCTCCCTCCCCACCCCCCACGCCGCTGTTGACCATGCACAACTTGCATGAGTCAGACACAGATCACTGAGGACTTGAGGTATCTCTCCTGATCTCTGCAAGCTGCCATCCCTGCATGCATGTTGGATGGAGGCTAGGCATGTTTTCTTACCATGCTTGCCTTCTCCTCTGGCTAGGTCTCCAACCTTGAAAACCTAGGATGGGAGCCCAGGGGGAGGAGTGGAACAAACTAAAGGGTAGTCTCTAGCACCCAAAGGGTCCCATTCTTGGCTCTCTTTCATTCACTGTTAGCTAGCTTTGACTCATTGATTGCTATCCTGCCAGGGGACTGGTGGCCACAGCCGGCCTGTTACAGCACCCCATCCCCTCAGGCTTGTTTTCACAGCCACCCTGCTTCCTCCTTAGTTCCATGCGGAGCCTCTGCCTCTCCTAGGCGGGTAAGCCCTGCTACCTAGACTTAGCTGAGGTCAGTATCAACTTTGAGAGAGCCTTGGAAACCCTCAGGCAATGAGGGCGCTGCATGGGGGGATGGCTAGGTTTTTCTACCTTTCTATAGGAATTAATGCCAGGGCTCTCCAGGCCTCCAATAGTCCAGAGTGACAGTAATCCACTTTCATGACTTGTGCTCTGTGTGTTGTCACTTGTGGCAAGACAATAGTCTGGGAAAATGGCTTTAATCATAAAAACAAGTTTTCATTGGGTTCTCTATCTCTGCCCCTTGCCCCATTTAGTCCTCCTTTTCTTCCCACAAACCCAGTCAAATAAAAGAAAGATAAACGCTCAAATGAATGCCTTGACAAAACTGATCTTCGCTTCTAGTTTCCCTTTTGGAAACAATACTGTTACTGGTTTACATCTGGTCTGGAAGTCATCTAATAAGGGATTCTTGGGGACTATTACTTAGACACCTGTTACAGCCTTCCCTATGAAACTTGAAAAACAAATGAAAAAAAAAGGGGCAGAAAATTAAATTTTCACATGGTTGTTCCTCAGTAATTCATTTTAGATCTCAGGGCGAACACCTTAATATGAGTTTGAAAAGAATGAAAGTCAGGGTAGTACCAACAAGTTATGCATGTCCCAACCCTCTCTGGATCAAGAAAAGTGTGTTTGTATAAGCAAGTGTCAGTGTGTTGGGGAGGGGAAATGAAGAGCGTAAATCAAGAGCCACCTTTAATAGAACAGGCTAAGGAGTGTGTACCTGTGACTTCAGGCATGGTAAGAAAAGTGGGGAGCATTATGCAAAACTGAAAGTCAATAGTAGAAACATTTCTTCCAACTAAAGGAGTGGGAGAGGGCAAATGTAAATGTTTACTCCAGTGTTTATAACTTTGCATTAAAAAGGTAATCCACTGAAATAACCTGGAATGATCTCTTCTTGCTTCCCTTGTCATATTTTTTTTCTGAATATCAAAATTTACAAAAGATGTCCCAACCTGATAAGAAGCTATTTTTCTTTTTCTTTTTCTTTTCTTCTTCTTCGATTTTTTTTTTTTTTTTAACGAACTGAAATAAGAATCTGAATTGTTGTCCTCTTTCCACTGCGGGAGGGGCTTGGGGCCCCCCCAATCTAAGTCTGTAAGATAGGAAGGCATCAGTGAGTAGCCTAAGGTGACTAGAGGTGAGTAAACCTCACACATTTCAACAAACAAATCTATTCAATCCCAGACATAAGGAAGTTCAAAATCTTTCAAATGGTCTCATTTTCTTGTGAAGGATTAAGAAGATCGTTTCTGTAGGCAAGTCCCCTAAAGTTGTCTCAAATGCTGAAATGCAGTGACACTCTATCGACATGGGGGAAGCCTCAGCCTTGAACTAAAAAAAGAAAAAGTGTAATGTGTTAAGGTGAAGGGCCAAAGTGGTAAACTGCCGTGGTAGGTGAGGGAATCCAGAATGAGTCGTCTGCAACTGGAAAACTGTTTTTAAAAAAATCTTTACCCAGAAACTAAGCTGACTGGTCAGCTCCTTTTCTCAGAGCAAACACACACTACCAAAACGATCCTAAGTTGTGGAAACGGCTTTCTGTGGAGGTTGAGGAGTTCATGTGAACCGAGTCAAGGGCGTTTATAGGTGACTCTGAATTGGAAACTTCACTATTGAGACGTGCTTTGGGGCCAAAGCAGAGCTCTCCAATTCTACAAGGGGGAAGCTGTCCTGGGGAGATGTGGGGCTTTACCTCAGGCTCCTACACTGGGATGCCGGTGAGTGAGTGGCATTCAGCACGAACAACTCAGTTTGAGGAAAGATGGAAGGAAGGGAGAAAGAGAAAGGAAAGGTAGAAATAGCATTAAAAGGAGGATTTATGCGAACTAATGGCAGAGAGGATTAGCAAGAGGGGCTCCCGGACCTGGTTTTAAAAAGGAGAGTGCTGCCTGTAAGGAAACACTGTACGCACGATCAGGGTCTAGATGTACCAGCGACCCAATGGGCATACACATCACGACTTTTACAGAAATAGCATAGTGTCATGCATTAGCCACCAGCTACCGTGCAAGCTACAGCTTCCTTCTCCCCAAGCAATCAATCATCCACTAACTGGCCGGTCTACCCTCTCTGCACGTGGAAGTCAGTCGGACTGGGACGGCTCGGCTCGGGCCCCCAGACCCTCGGCCTGGCTCTGGCTCTGGCTCTGCGGCTCGGCCTCCCGGCGCCGGCTCTCCCGGGGCCCGGAGGCGCGCGGCGGGCGGCGGCCAGCAGTTTCTCCTCTGCACGCGTCAGCCGGGCTCAGTAGGAGCGGCCGCGCCAGGTCGGAGGGGGCGGCTGCTTCCCCCATCCGTGGAGGCCGATAACGGCGAGTGCTACTAAATATACCACGAGACTAGGAACGTGTTGCTCCCCTCAACTCGCCCACCTCCATGCCATTATTCACTTGCGTCGCCACTTGATGCACACTGCTAAATGGGCAGCGCCGCCAGGCAGACGTCTCTGCCGGACAGGACCCGGGGAAGGACGAGGTTTCGATGCCAGCTTTACAGCCTCTAAGCTCTAACTCAAGAAACGCGCGCGCGTATTGAGGACGGAAGCCTTATTTTTCAAAGCCTCTGGAATAAGCTTCTAGTCGGAGCCTCGCCCTTCTGTCCCCCGCCCATCCCCCCACCCCCCGCCGCTTCCCCCTTCGGTCCTTTCCACCGTCAGGGAGACCTGAGGGGCAACTGGGGCTAAGTGGGAACGAAGGAGCCTTCTTAGACCCCGCGGACCTTCCCGGGTTTCTGTGTCCTGCGGGATGGGTCAGCCTTGACCTATTTCGCTCGCGTTGGTAAGCGGAGGCTCCGCCGGCGGGCGGGCGCGGGTTCCCCTGAGCCGGGGAGAAGCTGCAGCCCCATCGGCCCGCAGGCCCTCGCGCGCCGCCCGGTTTCCCGCGCTCTCGGTGCTCTGTTTCAGCGCGGATCTGTTCCGGGCCCGCGAGGCCTGCATCGCCCGGCCCGGCCCGGAGAGGGAAGGTTAAGGCCCCTTCTCCGAGGGCCGGGCTGCGCCGGCCGAGTAAGTGGGAAGCCTGGGTCCTCGCGGCCTCCTGCAGGCCCGGGCTTTCCAGGCCACCCTTCCCCACGGGCCTCACGGGCCTCTGGGCTGCTGCGAGGCGCCGGCTGGCGGGTGGGAGGGCAAGGTTCGCCCGACCCTAGGTTCAATTTTCTAAGGGACGTTGGCAATAGCTGTTCCTCCGCGGGAGCGCACAGCGAGGCCAGCGTGGTTTGTTCTCTACTGCGTCGCGTGTAGGAGCGCGAGCTCGGGAGAGTCCTGGGAGCTTTGGGAGACGTGCATCCTCCCCGAAGCCTGGACGTTGGTCACCTCAGGGCTTTGGGGACGGAAAGTCGGGAACCGAGCTCGGGCCAACCCGGCAGCGGCGCAGACGCTTTCGTTGGACGGCGGCCCCCCAGGCCCTCCAGCCCGACCTGGAAAGCTCAGGTGGCAAGGGTGGGAGTGCGGGCTCCAATGTGGCCTGCTTTCCTAGTGACCAAATACTCAGCAGGGTCTTCCTCCCCGCGGGAAAACTTCTGAACTCTCTCAGGTTCCCTCAGTCTTTGTTTTATGCTAGGACACCGGGGTCTAGAGAAAGGTGTGCTTTTATAACTAAGAGGGAAGTTGGAGGAGCCAGTAGCAAGGCCTATGGGGCGCATTCATCAATAGCGTCTTTTAAATTTTCTTGTTATAGGGGTGCTTGGCTCAATCTGAAGAGTGTGAGACTCTTGATCTCGGGGACCGTGGGTTCTAGCCCCACGTTGGATGT